CGGCAAAATTGTTTGTTTAGTATTTCCATGACATGGTTATCTATTATCATTAGTTTGTTATAAAGTTCATACTTTTCATTATCAGTTAGATGTAGTCTTTTGGAAATTTGATCAACCTTTTTCTCATAGTGATACTTTCTCTGATAAATACTCTTTTTTCTATAATGAAATCGATTGTATTCTTTCAAGTCAAAATAACCAAGAACATGGCCATTTGTTGTCCCACATGAATCGCAAATGTTATAACCAGATTCAACACAAAAACTATCACCTTGACAATTCCTACATCTAACTTTTATACTTACATCCTCTGGTTCTTTAGTATAATTATGTAATATTTCTAGATATTTTTTTATTTGATCTTCTGTATATGTCATTTATTATTTATTAACTTATTATCTTAAAGCTTTGGTTTTTACTTTATCCTCTAAGACCTGTCTTTTATCATCTTCACTACTCAAAGCTATTTTATTTACTTCCTTTGAGTAAATGTTATGATTTTCACTTCTTATAATTTTCATAGTTCTCATTTGCTTTTCACCAGTAAATAAACACTCAAAATAATTTTCAAAATCTATTCCCTTTTTAACAACACTCTTCTTTACACCTTTACACTTTTTGGTTAAACTCCCATCTTCTATCTTGAAAGTATAAAGTTTTGGCCGAAGACCAATAAATTTTGTAATCTGTTTACCAGCTACTTCATCTTTAAACACTCCTATTACTTTTTTGTTTAATCCTGTTGGTATACCAGATTTGTGATCAGGAGGATAATCAGAAGTGTCAAACTTTTCAAAAATATCATTAGATATATCCTTATAAAAATCATCCGTATGAATTTGGTATAAAAGTGAATCAGTATCTGTAAACATTAACTCAGCTTTGTTTCGATATTTCTTTTTGATATAATTGTAATGAAAATCAAACATTAATGTTTTTGACAAATCTAGAATTGCTTGACCAACATATACTGGTTTGTTAAAATACACTTCTGTCTTTTTCATGTGAACAGCAATTAGATTTTTATCAAATATTGTTGCTCTATCAAAGTTTGGTTTATTTGTAAGTTTAGCAGCTTTTTTACGATCATCAATAAGAATTATATTCTGTCTTTTCCTTATGTTTTCTATTGTCTTTCCAAACACTGAATTATTCATTAGTTTGAAAAAGTCTTTCTCAAAACTGTTAGCTGCTGTTTTTCGAAGTTCTGTATTTTTTCTTATGTAAGGCTCCATCTAAGAAGATTGGTAAAATGATATTCCTCTATGAACAGCAGTAAGCCTCATTCCCATCTCAAGATATTGTCTAAGATTACGATAATGTACAACATGGTTTCTTCGGGGTTTAAAATGACATATAAGTTTTTCAACACCATTAACAATCATCTTCTCAGGTGCAAGAGGATAGTCATTATGTGATTTCCATAGCTTTTTAGGATATTCCAAATCTACTTCAAATATATATCCTTTTCTCCCACGATTTGACATACTATGATTTGCCTTATCTAGGATGTCCATTACTTTTTCTTTTGTTATATTTTTCATCCAACTGAATCCATGTGTTGGAAGTTGTTGTGACATTGCCCAACCGTATA